TTGCTTATCGGATCACTGGTTCAGTCTGTGCGATGGACAAAAAAATGTACTATTATATTAACTAAAATGGCTTTTACTCATAGACAAAATGATTTAAATTAAAAATAATACCATAAAGCTTATACAAATTAACCGGTAAATTAATTGACATTTTCGAAATTTATTAAAACCACTTTTTCTTAAAAATGGTCGGTATCCAGGGGCCTTAAGGGCGTTTATAATGCACTGCTATGTTAATCTAAATGTCTATTTTTACCTTTAACTGCTCGTTTATCTTTAAAATGGCGAGAAGGTATGCTATATAATTATAATAATGACGCGTGCTATTGCGCGGTAAATCATCCCCGATTGATTTTATTTTTAACTTTCTTTCCCGCTTTAATGTATTTTTTTATTGAAAAAAAAATCAAATATTGTTTTCTGGAAACGAAAATGATGTACGCCTACATGAATAAAAATATACAATAATCTATAAGGCATAAACATTTTACTATTTTTTTACGACGGTAAAAAGAAAAATTCAATTTAGTTATAATGTTTTAAGAATAATAAAAAAATGTTTTAGTTATTACGGATATTTCTGGGTTACTATACGTAACACAGAAAAATACTTTCAAATTACAAATATCCATCTTCTCGATTTTTATTTGTCAGGAAACATTATACGAATAAAATAAAACGTCAAAAAAGAAAGAAATATAATACACATTTAATATATTATACTAAAGTACAGTCTTAAAATAATTACCAAAACTTAAATGTAGTAATCAAATAATTAAAGCAAAATTCCAGTTACAGCTGTACCTTATTTTGAAATAGTAATTACCATGACAACCTTCATGTTTTTATTATGATCAATTGATTAAGAGTTGAACTAATTCCCCGATCCAAGCACCGAAACAAACACTACGCTACGTGTTGTGCCGATGATTGAAATCAAAAGATTAATATGATCTTCAAATTGAAATAAGGTCCCGTTAAAAATGCCTTCTCGTATAATACTGATGTTGTTATACACTAGTGTATAAAAAGATGTTTGCATTTTATTAATAGTTGTTTTTAAAATACTATTTTGTGGTGTTCGGGTGAAAGATCCAAAATTAATATGTATGTAACTTAATTATAATTTAAGTATTTAATCCCATTTATGCAATTTTTAGATTTAATAGCTTTGACCCAAGTACCACAGAATTGTACAACATGTGTCAAATTAATGAAATTTAAGATTAGTCAATTTCATAATATAATCATAGACCTCATTTTTTTCATTTTTTTCATTTCGATTACATAATTTCTGGCATTCACAAAATGCATTTTTTGGTTTTTCGACCAAGTCTTTAATAACTGAATAGACGTCTATGATTTACTAATTGGATGTTTTTATGATCAGTGAACATTGCCATCAATACTATTAATTGACAGATAAATAACACATACTTGGGTATAGGATTTTTTTAAACTATAATTCCATGCGTTGAAAATAAGTATGATAGTTTTTGTTCATCACCAGTTTTTGTTTGGAAGATATGACAGAAGCATTATTTACGTTAACTTTTTAAACTAATGTTAAATTAAATAATCTTTATTTTAATATATTTTGAAAAAAAATTATATACATTAAAAATAACATAGCAACATCCACGTAAAATTATAATAGCTCAATTAAAAATTAAAAATGTAAGAAATCAAAGAAATGCAGAACAAAAAGTTATTTTATTCCACTATGATGAAAGCTTCTTTTGTTTTAAGTTCTCGAGTGAACTTTGTTTACACTTTGCACTGTCTCTTTGTAGATTCTAATAGTAATCTTCTATCATTTGAGTATTTTATCAATCCTAGTATCGGTCCACTAATGTCTTTAGACCTTGATAAAATCGTTTTCTTCTTGTTATTCACTCGTGTTGCCAGTCTAAATGGCTTTGTAGATAATGTACCTTAAGCTCGTATACATCATACTAGTCTCTAAAATTTTAAAACGTGTTGTTACCTAGTTCAACATTGTTTTCAGCTTTGCAGGTACTTAAAAAGTTTTTGACAGCAAGGACAAATGTGATCCATGCTTACGCTCTGTCTTATTCATAGAATCCTTGAAATGACGATCATTAATGATCTATCTGATTTGAGGACCGTCCAAAATTCTAGGTTTCAGTTTTTGTGAACTTATTCAAAAAAATGTTTGACCTATATGTGTACAATCAGAGCTTTTATAAATTGCTTCATTAACTTTACATTTATATGCAATGGAGGCATGATGATTTTGTATCGTTCGATTAAGTGTTCACGAATGATATATTTTTCTCCAACAACATGTTCTCTCTCATTGACCACTCTTTTTTTATCTAATGTCTTCTAATCACTAATGGCTCTACTGTTCCACAGACACAAAAAGCAATACGTCGTATCTCAAAAAGTAGAGTTGTTAAAAAAAAAATTAACTTATTTGAATTCAACATACTAAATATAATATAAATAAATAAAAGTATAACCAAATTGTTGTACTAAATTGTTTTCAAATAAAATAAAGCTTAAAAAAGATCAGTTGTCCAGTTATTCAAAGTAATCCGTAAACACAATAGGTACTAGTAATATAGTTTTTTTATAACCACTGAACCGCGAACACGCATTTATCAAAAATATTCTGCTATTGTTTGATAGATTTATTTTCCTTTAGCTAGTACTATATTCCCAATTCTTAGTAGCAAAAAGTACAAGATTTTGTTGAACATTCTCTTAAAATCTTCATTCTCAGAATGCAAAAAAAAATTTTTTTTCATTATTAATTTTATTATTATGAAACTTGATTTTTAAGTTGTAGGAAAAAAACCAAATTTTTCTAACCATATTTTATTTATTTTTTACTTAATAAAAAAAAAAATGATGTGTCATCCAAAATGTTTTTTTTCAATTTTCCTACGGCTTGTCCTTTTAACCAATAGTAGGCTATTCAAATTAGAAATCCCAAAAATTCTAAATCCCTAGCTCAACTATCAAGTTTTTTTTTTAAATTGGTTTTCCTATTTAATCATTATGGGACGTTTTAATTTTTCATCTACTCTGAAAACTAATCAAAATGTTTTCAATTTGAAAAAAGACTCTAAAATCTAAAATATGGCACTTGAATATGTTTCAATTTATATTTTGGGATAAAATTATTTTAGCAAGTTATTCATTTTTAACAGTTACAATGGGCTATAACTTCGTAAAAATAATTTACGAAGTATCAAGAGTGTAATTGTGAAGTTTCATATTTAAGCTTTAATAATATCATTTTAAATTGGATAAATTTTGATTAGTTTTCAAGTTAGAATGTTTTTAATAGAAAATATAAATTTTCTATGTATTTAAATAAAATTTGAAATAAATAATCAAATACCATTATGAAATAATAAAAAATCTCGAGGAAGTACATAGGGTGGAATAGAGCTCTGAAATCTTAAGGATTCCTTATTTGAATGGGCTACTATATTGATTAGGGGGAATTAGCAAGTATAACAATTTTTTTAGACACAGTCTAATGCCTTCTCTGTTTCCCATTCGCATATCTAATTTCATTTTATAGCGAACAAAATTATGTTCAGACGTGATCATAAGCTACATTTGTTGTTTACCGTGTACAATTTAAAAAAGAACTACTGTTGTAGAATGTCTTAATTACAGTGAATTTACATAGCAATTCGAGAGGAAACAATAAACACAGTACACATTTTCCAAATTTCGATCTTCTCGTTAAAATTTCCAATGGCACACAGAATAACTTACAAAGGGCTGAACCTTATTTACATGACTTGTTTTTCAATGTGCGTATAACGTACAATAATATTAAATATACCAAACTGTCTTTCTTTAAATAAATAAACCATCGCTTCAAAATGTAGTTATACCTACAATTCAAAATTAGCAAATGTTTCGTAAAAATAAAACGAGGAAGTACATTATGTTAGAACAGTGGAAATTACAAAATACGGAGGTCAAGTGCGTTTTTCTATGGGCTATTGCGAATTTTAATATAAGTAAATACACTAGTTGGATGTAAATAGCTATTATCGTAGTCCACAATCGCATACCTTGACGAATATAATATATTAGCCTTGGTAAACATTTTGATGACAATAATGGATGTTATAAAATTACGTATAATTATGTTATATTATGACTTCTTGATTTCTGCCAGTAAAATCATATTATGTGACATAACGATTTAATGATTTATTTTATCATTTCTTATGGTTAGACGTTAGTTATAGATATCATAAAATAAAAATTAGAAACATTCAAATAAACCAATACGCATAACATATTATTATTAGTTGGCTCTTTTTCGAGCTTATTATTAAACACGCAGGAAGGAAGTTCTAGAGCTTCATAAAAATAAAAATAGTATCACAACTCAATTGCAGCTCTAGTTGACTATAATTCAAAACGGTTGTACTACCTAATTGGATTTGACCCGTTCGTCAAAATTATAACAATTGTTGATAGTTTTGTTCGTGTACATTCTTCCTTATTGATTTTGTGTCGTGGCGGTATTTGCTCGTTCTACATAATATATCATCACCGTCGTGACCCGAAGAAAGTGACCGTGGGTTAATTTTTGGCCTTGGCGCACAAATCGTTTTTTTTTCTTTTAATTTCTCAACTATCGGCTTTTTTCCACAACGCTTCCGGACATTATTACATAAAAATGATGTTAGCCGACGTGTGCGGTGTGTCGCGTAATCGCTTCTAAATCGTGCGTCACACAATCCCGGGGTCAGGGGCTTCAGACCAAAGCCCGAGGACCGAAATCTCCTTTTAACCTACACACGCGGTAACGCAAACCGGTTTTGGCCGCGCGTTGCGGCCGTGGCATTCGACCAAAATGAAATCGAGTTGCTCCTTCTTATTTTTTATTATTATACGCCGTTAATGTAACCGCTATTACATTACCACCGGCATCATTATAATTTTATTACTATTATGTACCTAATGAAACATGCTTATACCCTACGCCGTGTAGGACATATTCGTCAACTCGTCTACCGACAAACCAACCTAGTCGGGGAGGGAACGTGTATGGTCGATCACTTTCTCCAATTTACAATTTTTCAAAACCTGACCGGCGTGGCCGCTCAATTGTCACAACCATAGTTACCGTTGTTTGGTGCGCGCCCGCGTAAGACTGTTCGTTTAACTCGTCTGAAGTTTTTTACACGTGTAAGTACCCCTTTTAAAGTATATTTTACATTATACACTGAAGGCAAACATAACTTAGTTGCTCGGTTGCACTTTTATAGTGTTATGTCTGTTAGAAAAAATGCCAGATGCCCTTTTGAGTGTAAACGGTGTTGATGGTTTTCAACCTTTTACTAGAATACATTTCATTTTTATTTTCATACAGAGGATTCGGATTTCTTTATGAAAAAACTCAAAGGACCTTTCCAAAAAAACACCATTTTCTTGTTGCCTTGATTCTTTTATGATTTCGTTACAACTCTTATGAAACATCTTCCATCCATAGATGTAATTTTAACCATTGACTTGTAGATTATTGTTGAAATTACATCATTTATCAGTTAATAAATTTCAGTAGTAAGAATCGAAAGGATACAAGTGATTTTAAGGACATTTTACAGGAGGGCAAAATACAAAATTTTGTTTATTAGCTTTTTTTAAAATATTTTTTTTTAATTACTTTTGACTAAACCTAATACACAGGTAGAAACTGAAAAAATGATTCCATTGCTTCATTTTTTTTTCTATATAACTTATCCCTGATAAGTTAGTTTCTGTCATAAACAATTTGATTTTAATCAGATCATTGTGATACTGTAATATATTATATTATTCAATATTCCTATAGTTATTTATTAGTCCATTTTGATGTTGTGATAATTTAATGTTGCACTCATTAAAACATTTCCTACCAAGTATGTAACACCACCAATGACTAATGGTTTTTTTTTATCTCTGTGTCAATCAATCATATGTATGTATTGTTATGTCCACCCAACCGTATGTAGCTGATGAATAATGGACTATAAACAAATCTACGTTACAATTAAATTGGAACTTGAACGTACTGAAGTTCTTCCGTCTAATCATATAAATAGCAAGTCATACAGCTCAATGGGTAACGATGTAATAATAACGAATGCACATTTTATACACGTTAGTAAAGAACAAATTACATTACTTATTCGATGACGTGCGATTTTCATTTTTATTGAAGCACATACCTGCAACAGAGAAATAAACAAATTAATTATACATTTATTACTATATGCAGAAATAAAGCATGACATAGTTACGGGATAGATTTAAAAAAAGCTAGTTGGCATACAATCGGTAACACCATACTCTATCTACTATCTTTTGCGAAAACCTTATCACTAATGTTAGACGCGTACGTATCATTCATGTTCACGAAGTATAATATTGTCTTACTTACAAGTGATAAGAAAAAAATGATAATGTATGGTAACCAAACTATGTAGTGGCTATTACAGTTTATTTATATAGATAGTAAAAATAAAACGTATGAATAGTCCAGACCTATATGCTGTGTTAAATATTGTCTAATTTCTAGCCGTCAAGTTTTACTCTTATTTATTCAGTTCTGACGATAAAAATTGCAATTTGAAATTTTCTATTATTTGTAATATCGGTTCACCATAGAATACAAACCGTTTGTTTGTTAGCTTCAACTAACCATATTTTTTTTCATGACATGCTAAAAACTTGATTTTATTATTTTCTTACAACAAAGGTGGCTAATATATTTTTGATTCGGCTCTCTCGAAAAGTTCCGTCATTTAGCAGAACTACAGAATGACGGCATAGAATTGTTGAATATATATTTTCGTTTACAATATATCTCTGGTGTTAATATTTATTTGACGATGCTAGTAAGGGAATTTTCAATAATAATATGTCTTCGAGGCTGATTCAACGGCGCTAGAGGATATTTTCAATATTGCTCGCACATCTATTGTGCTGGCATTCAGCCGAACACAATAAAAAACTCAATAAAATAGTCTTTTTAGTTATGTTTACCAGCAACCGTCGGTATAGATTAATAATATTGTTATCATTATTATTATTTTATCTCCTGGTGATTCAGAACACAATATTATTGCTGTTTACGGGATAATATTGTTTGGATAATTTTCAGTTTTACAATAGTCTATCTATTGATTCATAATATGATAATACTAATATAAGTGCCTGGGTGAATAAGGTCCTATTAAAAACATTTTTCATACGATTAATTGTACGAATAAAAAAATTAGTAATATGAATATTTTTTTACTTGTCTCATAAGCTGTAAAAGGCAACAGATTAGTTTATGTCGATTTTTATTATTAGGATTATAGTTTGATTAAATATTTAAGTTTAATGGTCACTGAAACCTATGAAATAGTATTAAAAGTCTGTTATACAAAACGAGATTGCTTTAAGTAAGTTATAATTCCTCTTAGTTTCATACAGAATATATTTATCACGTATAATTAAAATTAAAAAACACATACTTTGAGTAATTATTTCGTTATAATAATTATTTATTATTTATTTTGTTAAAATAAAATATGCGAATCTGCAGTTGGTAAAAATATATAATATATATTTTTAAATGGTATTTTGATTTAGATTACTTACCAAATTAAATATAAAAGGCATTACTAAACATATGATGTATACTACTATTTACTCCAATGCCTATTATGATGATAACCCACATTCAAAAAACTACTAGATATAATTTATATAGCTCAAAAGAAGAGATTATAACTCCCAAATTTGAAAAACTTATTGTTGGCTACGTACAACGCATTCTACTCATTCGTGATTGTAATAGAGGAAAAACACTTTTCCTATTTTGATAAATGTCGTAAAGAGTTATGGTAGTATTTTAAGAAGTGTAAAAAATTGTTATTTTTACGGTTAATGTTAAACCTAATATTAGGTTTATTAAAAAAAACATGGCGTTGGTTCTTATTTTTCTTTTCTATTTCATAATAGAATTTTTTTTCACTGAAAACATAATGAAACACAATCATGAACGCATAAATGTTTAGATTTTAAAACTAGTGTTAAACGATTTAAAATTATTTAAACATTTCAAATTCTCTCTCAAAACTGTTGTCAAGGACGAATCCTAAATAAAAAAAAAAATTTTTTTTACATAATTGTACAATTTAGTTTTAACTTAAATTAATATCTCGTCTAAAAATAACCTATTATAAGCCACTTAATAGGCCTATTACCCGAGTTATTTCGACAATCCGTATATTTCACGGTTCGCCTAGTTTCCTCAAAAACTCGCATGTTTGATGTTATATGGTTTTTGCGCCAGTTGCATAACTTTTTAAATTGTATAATAGTAGTATAAAACCAGTGAGTAAAGCGCTGGCAATCTCCCGGCAAAACTTTTGAAGTATAGCACGACTCTTGAGAAAGTACGCATCTGCCGGATTTTTTCATTCCTGGCCTTACGCGTCTATAGCAAGTTTTCCACTTAAAAATGCGGAACACAACTTAAACTCAACGTCCATTGTTATATTTTTTATTTTCATACAAAAATCATACACATATATGACACGCACGACGGCGCGTAAAGTATCGTATAATGGTTTTAACTCGGCCAATAACAACTTTGTGCTTTTAGATATTGCGTTTTTGATGATATATAAGATGGACAATATTACAACGTACCTAAGATCAAAAATAGTCATATTCGGCACTTTTCTCAGTGACAGTAATGATGTTTCATCGACATACGACGGTTATTAACAAATATTATTTAAACCAGATGTTTCATAACGTGTTCGACAGAGTCGTCGGCCTAAAAAATGTAAAAACTAGTCACACTGGAAAAAGTATAAATCAAACCAATCGAGAGACAATTTGTGTAAGTTGATAAGGCGAAAAAGTAATTCACTTTCCTTAACCCGAACGATGAACAATAAATTAAAATTATATTTTATGTACAATCTCCACACAATACTGTTAGGCTATTCGCTCTCTTAAACATACGACTTTTATGGGTTTCTTTTTAACAAATTAATTACCTAATAAAACCTCTAGAAGGAAATTAAAAAATGAAACTCTTAAAAATAATAAAATATAGTTGAAACATCTAATAAAAAGTGCCAGTTGACAATTTTCACCAAATATTTAAATTATGGTGATTAATTTTTAAACGAAACTTTTTAGGCATTGAATGCGGTAGAGCAGATGCTATATAATTTATACAGGAACCTATAAGCTCTAAAAACCAATTGAACCTTTATTTTGGGTTTGTTATGAGTTTAAAAAAACCGCTAGTTTAATTAGATAGTTTTTTTAATACATTCGAAAATCATATTGAAACCGTTTATCAATTAACACTAAAAACGCATACGTAGTATATATATATAATATATTGCATCATTGTTTTATTATTTCAAATAATTTACTACCTTATCGTAATTATAATAAAAAAAATAATAAATATGAACCGCAATGGAAATTAAATATTATAATATAAAGAAAATCCCCGGATAATTATTAAGGTCATATTGAACATCGGACATACATTTCACTTAAAAGTTATACCTTTGGATTTTTTTTTTTTTTGCATTCTTCGAGAATCATTAGACAATTATCAAATCACGCATTTAATCGTTAAGTATTGCAAAAGTGAAATCTACAAAAGGATAGTTTAAAAGCCGGTTCTTATAATAATCGATGTTTACCAAACGTTACGGGAACTAAATTATATTCTTACGTAATAATTATACCAGTACTCAAAAAACTAAAGCCTTTTGGTTACAAAAACAAATTATATTAGTAACAGCTAACATAACATCAAGAATTGCCACGGAAACATGTCCAACAATTCAAGCATCTCTGAGTATTTAAAAAAAGTGTGTTCTTTCCGACTGGATTTTTCGTGGAATTGTCGTTCTTTTTAGTGTTTTTTTGTATGCGGCGACGGTGTTCTATTATTTTTATTTTTATTATTATTGTTATTAGTGTCGTTCATGCCAGCAGAGCTCACACGTACACATTCTTTTAATTAAACGTTGCTTACCTACATATTAAAACAACGCCTCGGTTCGTCGTAACACCGAGTAGGTGGGTACTGTATGTATAGGTATAAGTAGGTAAATACTTTGTTTTTAAACCCGAGTGTTATTAAAACAAAACCATAGTTTATAATTATGGCTGTAATAATAATTATAATAAAATCTATATGTATTTTCGGTCAAAAAAAAGCGAAACCCTATAATGCGCACAAAACCTTTAAATATTCGTTAAAACGGTGACAGAACGTATAGCAATACAAAAATAAAAATGTACCTAAAAACTTCTCTTAACCCGGTCGGCAGTACATACTTAAAACGCGTAGTAATTTAGTTAGAACCTTATTTCCCGTTGTTATATCTGTATAAGCAAAAGCTATTTACAATTTTTTTTATCGAATTTGGGATGAACACAGATGAATATTATACCGGCGTTGACGGCGTAGTAAAAAAAACTAGAAATATAAATTCAATTTTGAAGGTAAAATGCATATTTTTAGTTCGTTATCCGAACACACATTTTTTTAATTGGAAAAACTCAATGTCTGCTAGATTGTATATGTTCGTATTCAATTTTAACCGTTGTTACAAGGTTTAAAAGAGCACGTATTGAATTTTGGAATAAGACATTTAACAATTAAAAGGAAACACGAAAATCCACCACTAGTGGAAATGCACCAGTTAAAAAATGGAACAACTTTAAAAGTTATAAGCTCAAACCCAATCATCGTAGCACTTGGATAGGATCAAAGTACTATCGTCAATTATTTACATTTCTCAGAGATAAAATTTTGTTAGCAAAATATAAAATATATAATATAATATATATAAAAAGTATCAACTATTAAAAAATGATTTCCTATTTCAAAAAACCTCTGTTTTTCGGTTTTGTTTATCGTAGGGTTAGATTTTGATAAGTAGTAAAATTAAAATCTCGATTCCAATCATACGCGTATGAAACCCTAAAATATATATTATAGCACGCTGCACATATGATTAAAATGGACCGTACAACAATAGTTTGGTCCATACCAACAACGGTCCCAGTGGGGTAAATAACATTTGACCCGTACCCATATATAGGTCGCATTAAAACAATTTCAATGATCTAAAATCAAACAATATGGTTTATAATAAACGATGTCTTCATTAAATCGTTTAGACTTTATTTTAATACGCTGATATTGCAGTTTTACTTACCCCTGAGGGATGAGAAGGTAAGGAAAGAAAATACACAATTACTAATTACTATCTACTTATTAATGTAGTATTGCCCTAAAAAGTTTAAATGGAACTGTATGATGCTTAATTATTTACGGTATTATATCGTGTTTTTCTGACGTAAAGCATTTAATTGGATTAATTTGTTGTAAAAAAAAGGTTTCAACTAATAATAACTGCGTCCAACTTCTTGAATATTACATTAGCTCGATGGAAAATGTTTAACTTTTCTGTTTTTTTTTATTTAAAGATCATTGCTCGAATTATTTAGTGTTATAAATAATATATCTTTTTTTTTTCAATCTCCTAATTCGGGGAAGGAACTGCTTTTTCATTATTTTCTCCATAAAAATTATATTTACCGTAGATTGAATTTTAAATATTACCATATTTACAACAAAACTTAATTTTTATACTTGGATTTAGAAAATGTGCAAAATAAAAAATTATGCATGCTATTATGAAGGAGTGAGGTCAGACCATGTCAACCGTATTGCTGAATTTAGATCAAGTTACCGTCAATGATGTGGTATTTAAAAAAATTCACAAAACTTCAAAACCTATTTTACATTATAAGAATCCAGTATTTAAATGAAATTTTCCAAATACATTTTTAATTTCAGTTAATACAATTAATACAATCAATAAAATTTGTATTAACACAAGAATCGAGCAATTTTGTGTTTTGAATAGTTTTATAACACATAAACATCGGTTCAATGTATTTTAATTAAAATGGATGCTTATTAATTATAATTTGTTTATTATGCTAATTAGTTCATAATCAACCAACTTGTCGTTATTGTTTTTCATAATTTAAATGACATACGTTTTTTTAATAACAGAACCACTCTCAAACTATACTCCATTATTTTATTTTGTGTTAGGTTCCTTTTGCACTTTATTTCTCGGTATACATTATTTGTATATATTAAAAAAACAATTATATATATATAACATACAGTAGTGCGAATATAGTGTATACTCCCGTTGTAGACCACATTAATAATTTACCCATGGCGTGGAAAAAAACCAAAGTTGCTTAGAAGGATGCCCTAAGCCTCGTTGGTATATAATATACTTGGCGTTGTAGTTTGCCGGAATAATTTGTTCTTAAAGTTTGATCGTATGATGCCGCACAACGCCCAAGAAGAGAAAGAATATTAATATTAAAATAAACCGTTGTCTCCACCCTCAACACTTTACTAATACAAACCCTTCAAGGAACCATGAAAATGCTACCACCGTTTTTATTATAACTGTACAAGTGGTGGACTTTACCGTTAACACCGGAGTTCGTTATTTCCACAACGAAATTGATCTGACGCGTGAAAAAAAAACACAATACGATGGCAAAGGGAAATGTTGCGTGCGGTTAGGTACGATAATATGTTGGGTTCTTCAATGGACAACAAGACTGTACGGTAGGCAGTTCTATGTTTACACTGCGTGACAGTATAAACATATAAATTAGAAAATTATTGTTTAGGGCATCGCACAAGGTCAAACGGTATGCGAAAAGTAAAACCCCGAGAAAATCGCAAAACTTGTTATTCCACACCGAAATCTTCATTGTAACAAATGATAATAACGATAGCGAATGTCGGCGGAGCTGTCGCGTCACAGTTTAATCAACAGGATAATGGTCCTTAATGTGTTTGCATGTGTGCTATCTCATCTGGAAATCGGGTATTAGCTATACACGCGTGTATTCGTCTCATTTCTCATTGAAAACAGCCCAAGGAATGCGAGTGACATTTGAGTGGAAAGTTCTATTTATCCAGCCGCGCTGGACATTACAATGGTTAACGACCGTCGAGTTCGTGGGTAACAAGAGAAATGTTCGCAGAGATGTAGGCCACTGGCTTGGATTAATATTCTGTTTGCATTAATAATATTATTTAACTATACCATAATAATATTATAGTTCGTCAACGTCATTACGAGCATTCGGATTTTTCTTTCTTAATCCGCTAATGATTTTTCACCGCATACGTTTTTACATTTTGACAACGGAAAATTATAATAGTATAATACTATGAGTTCTTATTGTCCACGTGATTTAAAAGTTATAATAACATTTCAAAGAATCTTAAGCAACGGTGATCTATTAAACGTCAACTATTTAATTATTTTGCCTAATTTATCGATTCAAGTTTCAAAGTCAGTTCGTTAATTTTTATCAAATTGATTACTTGTATTATTTTGTATTTGGTACAACTCTGGACGGCTTTGAACTTTCTGGTATAATCTATATCGGTTCCAGTAATCCGTGTCCATAAGTCAAACAGAGAAAACTAAAAGATTAAGGATTATTTATTATGAATGTCGTTGTTATTGTTTTTTTCAAATCGAACATTTTAGACTTATAATAAAAATGAACTATATGAAGTGGAGTTATGTGCAGTTTGGGTTAAGAAATCCTGCTAAAACGTATTGAACATTTTGTTAAAAAGAAAGTTTTGCAGCTGTGTTGCACAAATAACATTTCAAAATGGTTTAATAGAATATCCGACGACGCCTACTGCAAATAGGCAATTTTAACAATTACTTGTTAAAACAAAAATAATAAACACAATAATAATAATCACTGGAAATAAGCGTATATGTATTGTTAACAATCGACCATCCATCATCATGCCATGTAGTCGTAATCCTTAATGTTTGTAGAAATGTATGTTTTTAATAGCGCGTAGGTAGCAATTAGACATCACTTTTCTTATGATTTCTAAATACGACCATCTATAAATTTCGTTTATAGCCTAGCTTACACTGCGCCTTTAAAACGGGTACGTCGCCGATATTAGGTGAAGTCAAACGATGTAAATACTGCAGGTCGTAAAATTTAACAGGTCAGGCCACAATTTTTCTATTCTCGCCATTTTTAGGTGAAACTTGTTGTCATAGAATAAACAGTCGTTAATGATAATAGTGTTAAAATGGAGAATGATAAACGGAGTACTATTTTAGGGAACATAAGTAAGTGTAAGCAATTATAAATTATGTAGGCGAGATATCTACTTCACAAATAAACATGGAAAACCTGAATTGTTGACATATGGCGATACAGTGTAACATTTTTTTTTCTGGTACACCTTATATGTCCATACAGCAACTATTTATATATTTACAAAATATTTGCCAATTTTAACAAAATGTCTAAGATCATATTTTAGTAGGTACGAAATGAAACATTGTGATAACATTAATATTTTATATTACTTGAACTATTTTACTTTTAAAATTTCGTAAATTTAAACATTATACACTAGTTATTTTCAGAACTTCAAATAAATGTTGTTATGTTTATTATAATATGTAAAATAAGTTATTTTCAAACACACTTTTAATGAATAAAAAACCCGAAAATAACAATATTCTAAATTTCTGTGTAGGTAAATAAATTATAAATTCATCTGTGGCAGTCTATTGATGTGTATGTAAATCGTTTGTTTCAGCTTTTGAGAATAACAGCTGTGATGTACTCAACGTTGGCTTTAGAGTCGTTGGCGTTTGCCGCGTTTGTCGTTATTGCCGTTTTGCTGCCGTACGTCCGGCGGAAGCATAACTACTGGACGAGTCGCGGTGTGCCGGTAGCCGCAGGTCAATCGGTATTGACTACGTTACCAGTGTGCCGTTTGGACGAAAAGGCTCTGACGGCTTACCGCGAAGTCGTTGTCGACGCTCCGGTAATGGGTTTGCACGATGCCGGTAAGCCGTGTGCTTTGGCTTGTGAAGTAAGAGTGGCCTCGGTCGTTCTAGGCAACGATAGCTTCGTCGAAGACGACGGCACTTCGCCGGCCGCCGGTTTCAGCCGGATTCCAAACGTACTAACGGAAGACGCGATGTACACCTTAGCGCCGGTTATGGCGGAATGCGTGGCCGAATTGACCACGTCCATGGAAGCGATTGCCAACCGCAGGATGACTGTGACTCCGAGGGCGAACGTGAAGAGGTGTGCTACCATTGCCGTGGCCACTTGTGTTTACGGCCAGCCAATAATCGACTCGCAGATGAAGACGTTTGAAGATAATTGCGAACAAGCTTTGCGAGCAAGGCGGGACCCGGTAGCCACCGCCAAGCACATGTCTGCATACGAGGAGAAAACGTCGGCCAACTGTTTCAAAACAATTCTGTGCAAGGCCGCCAACACCGGTAAGAACAGTAATAAATAATAATATAATAATAAAAGACAAAGGTCGGTCGATTTAGGGGGTGGTCGCCAATTACAAGGGAAGAATGCCCAAGGATTTGTGGATAACAAATCGGCCGGTTCCCTCCTCTCTGATCATCAATAACGCCCCATTCCCGGCCGATGGTACAACTTTATAAACGATCGGCATCGGAATTTTAATCCGTCAACGGCACAACCGCCGTTGTTCATCCGATGAAAACTCACTAGAAATTAATGGTTTTCCAGAAGTGATAGGAATTGTTGTTGCCCCACCATCACCGTGAACTTTTCCACGCCAAAACTTTCCGTTAGCTCCATTTCTCATATAATTAACGTCAGACTATGGAGTGTAGACACACTCATCTTCTCACGTTATAATATCAAGTTTTCAGATTTATGACGAGTGAACATTTTAATTTTTATCAATTAGTTTAACACTCAGGTTCAGACCTCAATACTAGTGCAAAAAGAAACTATGGATAAACTAGTCTTCATGCCGTCTGCAATTTACCGCGTCCACTGTGGAAGTCAATACAAACTGTACACCTCGCACTTGATAGGAATGTCTCATAAGCCAAAAGACAATTTGTTATAACATTCCGTTTTTCTTTGTTTTTATGTATTACCCAATTTTGTATTTTCGAGACAAAAAGTCATGATTCATTCAAGTGTATCAAAGTGGGCGACACTTTGAAGGTGCTTTGCACGTGACGTCAACGTTGTTTTTCTGACATCAAGAGCATTCCGTTCAAAATCTTATCCGGTATGGTACCCCAGGAGAGATTTTGTTGTTCCGGAAACACCACTTGAGTGTGAAAATTACATAAACAACTGCGCCGTGTGCTTATTGCTAGATTTGGCAGTCCTTCACGCGTTACAACGCATTGTATCAACTATAAATACCTTTACCTTCCGCCTAAACAGACGCATTTGTACTTAATCGGACATTAGAAACTTGTGACATAAAACGAGCATTATATGAGAGATATTTTAGTGATCAACTATAATACAGTATCGAAAGAAAAGTAAAGAATGGTACTCGCCAAACAACAACACACTTTAAGATACCTTCCTATTTGGCCGAAAAGTCTTCGAGCCTTTGTAATGTTATCAATAACGTACCTCGATGGTCGCAAAGAAGACAATTTTAGAAATTACTTTCCTTAAGTTCAAAGTTAATCGATAAACTTCTTAATAAGATTTCAATAACTATTTTGACTTTGCTTGCTAACATTGCGAGCAAAAGGTAAAAAGTAGTTCACGGCGTTCCAATATTGTAAATATACTAAATTTGCTTTCTTAATTTTCTTATCCCTTCGCTTAAATCTCAAATCTCTCAGATGCTGTAGTATAGGTTCAGACATTCAATATAATACCATACATATAATATAATACCATTCAATATATACCAATGAAGTCTATTATCTCATAAAAATAACGAATTATAACTTTGTGTTTTATTCGTATTTCTTCTATTTATTATGTTATTTCCGAGGGGACAAAAACAAAATCATCGAATATTAAGATTCAATCAAATAGATTAATTTATTAACACTTAATCTATTATTATTGGCTATGGCTTATGCTAGTAAAAAAACTATGCGATCTCCTGGCCATAATCTCACTGCCTACAGTAATAATTATAGCTGCGTTAATCTATGTTATTATCAATGGGTCTTTTAGGTACCTAATAATAATGTAACTTAATTTACGAATTGTGCGTAAGGAGAACACCATTAAATTACTGTATTTTTTTAAATATATTATATTAAAAAAAAATCGTGGTGTGAAATTGGTTGTACTAAATTACTGCTATAATATACAAGTAATGGCGTCACCAGTAAGTAAAATAAACGAATGGTTTTTTATTTGACAAAAAGTGAAGATTATTATAGTTATATATTTTTAATAATAGCATTTAGTTCAAACGTACGATTTAGAAAATAAATTGGCTACTCGTAGTTCTGTTTTGACTATTTATTCAAACCAACAATGCTTTCAATAAAATCTCTATAAATTTAGAAAACATTATAATTGAACTGTACTAGAAATGCTTACAATGTGGTATAATAGAAATGTAGATGTCGTAACATTACATTTTATTCAGGTGTGACCTCCGTAAAAATTGTTTCCCATATATAATATTTAATAGTTATATAATTTAGCTGTTATACAACTTACCAATTTTATCATATTCGCATCAGCCGGTTAGTGAGCCGTTTTAGTGATTAACAGTCTATTTACTCTATGTTATAATTAGTATAATACTTCAATTATTAATATGTTAAACCAGTTTTACAGGTGAATCATTCTACAACTGTGTACAAATCCTGCATTTTGATTCTTTTGAAATTATATTTCCAATATTATAACGAGTCGTTTAGTAGTAAAAAATTAAAAAGAGTATTAACAATACTAGATCGTTACGTATTACAGTTTTTATTTGCTTCATCCTTCACAATAATTTTTCAAAAGAACCAACTTTATTTAGTGCTTAAAGTAACAGTCTAATAAATTGTTCGAAAACAAATGCCTCTATTAAATGTTTAAACACTTTAAGTTTTATTTAATATTTTTTATTTTTTTGATAATCTTTTACTTTACAGGTATATTTTAAGCTTGGTTTGGACTGTAGTCGTAAATCTAAGTGACTAAGCTGGTTTTTACTGTACTTGGGATTCAGAGGTTAAATTATTTATTTACTTATATGATTAAGAAAACGCCGGATCATTAAACAATATTTTCTTCGAGATATAATTTAAAACTAAAATTATTGTACTATAAATTGATAAATTATCATCATAATCATGTCTCTTAGAGAGGGATGGCGACTTGTTTTAGCTAGTTACCCTAGAAAGATACTTCGCGTTTTAGTCTTTGAAATTTGAGACTTAATCGCATATAAAAAAAATGTTACTTAGTGATATCAATGACTTTGATGTACATTTTAGAAACTGTAAAATAATAAAAGGTGTTATATAACAAAATATGTAATAATAATACTATAGCACTTCAATTTTTAAAGATTTGAGAATAAAGCTGTTTAGTTCCCACGAAACGAAAAAGTGTAAAAACATGTTTTGGTATTGCAAGAGTGGTATGAGATTATTTTAAATTACTATCACTGTATAACATAATATACTCGTAACCGTCGATTAGGCTATAAAATATAATACATGCATTTATTAAATTTAGCCGGAATTAACATCATCCCATTTCTAAACTTAAAATGGGGTTTTTTTACGCATAACAATGACTACATTTACCGTCGACTGTTATACAACGCATAACTATCCGTGTTAATAAATTCGTTTATTTATGAATTGGAATGGATTCAAAAGTAATCTAATATTAATATACTACAAAGGTAAATATCACTATTATAATAAAAAAATACACTTTTTAATTTATATTTTCAATTATTAAGGCGTATTTTCAAAATTAAAAGTAGCAATTAGAATTATTCCAAATTATTTATATTTTAGAAATAATAAATTCTATCGTTCAAATCTAATGAATCAAAAAACTTTAAAACAGCTTATAGGTTTAGCATAGATTATTTGCTCTTTTAGCGCCCTAAAATGTTTACTACATATAAATGAAGTATGAAAAGGGTCATTATCGAATAACAAACAGACGGACATTTGAGAACAAAACTATTTTCAGTATTGAAAATTCATCGTTCGATCATTTTTTTAAATCTATTTATTTATTTAAATCTATTTATTTCAAATTGTGTGTATTTAGTGTATGAAACATTAAAAGTAACACTAACGTTCAAACCTAACAAATTCACTTCGGACAAATTTTATAACTATAAAGTAACAACTATTTCGAATTTCAAAAAGTATGGGTCTTTTTGGTTTTGTTTTTGATATTAATTTATTAAGAATAGTTTTAATCAATTACAATGTTTGAAGAGTGAAAACAAACGATTGCAATTTCTGCTGCAATATATTGTAAATTTAGTTGACATTGGAATCCGTCGCTTCCTTTGCATGATTTTGATGTTCAAGCATTTAGAAAGTCTCGTTGCCAACGAGTTTTTGGGTTTTTTATAGCGTTTGATTGTAAGTATCATACTTGAACACGTAGTACGCCACTAAGAATGCGTCATTCGGTCTTTTACTTGGCCTTACCGACCGGTTCGTCACAATGAAAGGAAAAGTCCTTTCCGACCGTCTTGTCTCGGATCACATAAATCCGGTTTAAATAGTTGTTATATAAGTCAATGTGTACACTGTAACGTGCGGTAGACAAAAGTGGTAAAATAAAAACTGGTCGCAAATAATGCAAGAGTAGCTGTACCTATGTATAATAATATACGGCGTTGGTAAAATTGATAATTCGCCTAGCTAAATAATTGTTACTGTTGTGACCGAACACAATTAATATAGCGGTGTAATAATATGTGACGAATGTCACGAACACCGTGGTTTGTTTTTTTTACTGTACAATATATTTTAAGGTAAATATACCTTGTAAGTATACATAACATAATGGGTATGTGCAATATAATACTGACGTATGTTTTACCTGATTGGTTGCCGAAAGACCACCCCATAATTTCCGTTGTGTTGTTATTTGAAAAAAAAAAATTTCTTTTGGTTGGTAAAAAAAACCACAAAAATGAAAATATTAGGGTGCAAAATCGTTAATAACAATACAATCGCCGTGAATTTATTACATTTATCGTTTGCATCTAACGTTAACGATTGTTTGCGGTATGCGGAGAAAAAAAGTGCTTCTCACACGCCAACGCATGTAAACGAATCTAACGCGGCAAAATTAAGTCATAATAACGCGCTTACACTTTACGAGTAATAAACACGTCAAGTCTCGATTTGCATAATAACAATATATATGAAATCATCGACGATGTTGGACTCGATAAGGGAAATGGAAAAACTGTTTACGAGGGGACTTGGTGCACTACACCTAAAGTAACAGAAGTAATATTTCCCAAAGAGACTGTTTTGTTAATGTTATTATTCATAACTGTTTAAAAACACACAATAATATGTTGGACACAGTTGTTATATCATTTAGTTGGACTAATTTTATTTTTAACACATCAAATAGGTCAAATGAGTATAACTCCGAAATTTAATGATCGTATACCCTCACATTTTATTAATGATATAATTTTGTATTTAAATAATACATCGCATTGAATAACATAATGAAATACATTTAATTAAAAAATAAACGAACACGTCAGCGAAAAAGAAAACTAATAATTAATAACACAAAAGTGCTTTACAAACAAATTGCACACGTCTACCGAAGTGCCAACAAATATTAACTGCTGATCCACTTCCCTAATCACCCTACACTTCTTTTCTGACTCCCCGTCACACTCGAGTTCAATATTGACAGCATATCTTTATTAATTATAACATACATAACGAACAAATTCTAAGATTCGGAGTTAACATGTTAAAATAGCTTCAAACAAGAATTACCTCGACAATTATAACATTAATTTTACTCAAGTATTGATTTTACTCAAGAAATGTAACATAATAAACTTCATTGTGATGGAATTCAATACAAATCAAGTATAATACATTTAAAAATAGACTCTTCATAAAAGCGGAAATTTTTACTAAAGAAAATATATTAATTTTTGTGTTGATTTTTAAAGATTTTTTGCCATATTTTTGTAATAAAACAACTTATTCGTCAGCAAATAGCAATCAAAGAAAAAAGTTGGTTTGTGGCGGGAGAGTAAGCGAGAAAACTTTTAACAAATATATAAAAAAAAGATGTTAAACTTAAATAGTTCTACTCGAAAAATATATTTGTTGCTGCTGGGACAAAACTAAAAAAAGAAGAGAAGTATACGGAACAAAGAATAAAAATGTAAATTACATTTTGTTAAGTTATATTTTAGTTGTGAAAATACTTTTTTATTTTGGAATTTAGAATAGAATTTTAAAATCTCTAAAGTGTAGGAAAGTTTTTTGCTGAAAACTTCAATATCAAATATTTTTTGTTCTGAATTGTTTAAATTTAATCTGCGTTAGGTAATCTACAATTTTAATGTAATCAAAATAATTTAATTTATAACGTCGTTACTGACTACCTCACCTAACAAACCTACCAATATAATTGCAAATTTAATAAAGAAGAATTTTAATATATAATAATACATTAACGAACATGATAAAATATAATCATAGTCTTATATTTAAAAAAAACATCAGATTGAAATAGTTTTTATTTTGTTGGTTCTTTTTATATATACACATAAACCATTTTTTAAAGTCGACAAAAAAAATGATAACCATTTTTCTATATTCTAAGAATTCAAAGAACTATTTGGTTCCACAAAAGTGTTTAGTAACCGTTTTACTAAAATACGTTGACCTACATAATTTCCAAGACTTATGTTCTATAACACGTAAAGGCAGTTCAATATTGTCGAAAGGGAGAAGGCTCTACTAACAATTAACATACCTGATAATGATAATGATGTTAATAAAGTTCATTGAGTTTTCAAAAATGTCAAACCCGTTGTTAAATTATTCAATTTCGTTATATTATTCAATGGGTTTACGTAGCAAAAACTTTTAAGGTTAAAAAATGTCGGTAAATCTTTCGAGTGACAAATAATCTTTGTATAATTTTATATCCAACGTTTCTAGAGTCTAATCTTATTGTCTAAAGAAATAATATATATTATTAAGTCTTCAACGGGCCTAAGCGGACTCTCGTTTGGACCGCGGCCAGGTGAGCCACGGAAAGCATTTAGGCGCGTTCGTGTTTAGTACATTTAACAATTTATATCAATGTGTACACACAATACGCATCTTCAGATAGATCCGATTGAAGGGAGTCGCTAATCTTTTTTTCATGCGCCAAACACGGGCTTTAGTCCACGAAAATTTATTGAAAGATTTTTTTTTTGTTTTTTAGGTGTATCCCCAAATCCTACTCGTTTCAGTATATATATATATATATCCACCGAAATAAGACAATAACAATTCGAACCCAGCGTTGAAAATCAATTAAGTGGATTTTTGTTTTGTTGCTAACGAAAAAAGTCGTTCAGTCAATTCAAGACAATTGTTTTTCTTTTTTTTATGCTTTGAGACATTATTCTGTGTTATATTTTAGCCGACTGGTAATATTTTAACTCAACAAACGCGGTATGATAATTGTTGGGATACTCGTATGCATGTAAACGCTAGTGGATTTAGTTAATCTCAAATGATTTGGGTAGTGGAACAGGGTTTATACATTATACCACGTCCCAATAATAATTGTAATAATATAAGAGCAATGCAAATAAAGAATAATCTGAGAGTTGAATCCGTTTGCAAACATATTTTGTTTCAAGAAAAATGAAGTGATCTTCGTTTTTTAACCTAGCCAATGTACGAATATAAGCGATATATTTTGATTATTTATTATATTCACTAGTCACATATACATATTTTATATTGCTTGATATGTATTATAGTCTAGAGGTGTTGTATAATTTGTAATGTTTGAATTTTCATCGAAGACAAATGATTAAAGATGGTTTTTTTTTTTAGAAACCGTTGACTTTGAAGTGCGATCAGACCTGTTCACTTTTGTTACCTGTGCCATCGAATCCACGGCAAATCTAGTAACAGCCGCTTTGTACGAGTTGTCTCGAGATCATCAAACACAATCTCTACTCAGGGAACACTTGGACTCCGTACTGGACGAACATTCGACTTCCATTACTGTGGAACAAATGGACCGAGTGCCATACTTGGAAAATGTAATACGAGGTAAACATTTAAAACTACTATGTTACTACTATTACAAACAACTTAAAAAACGTATTTTTTGTAATATTATGCGTAGAAAAAAACTTGAACATTTTTTTAAGGGTCGAACGCCAAACTTAGGAAACACTCAAAAATAAATTTATCTATGTATACACGTATAGATTCGGAAGTCGGCATAAGATATAATTGCATTATACATTTTTTCTTTCTTTTACATAATAGTATTTGGCTGCACAGTAATACATAATATATAACAGATAAAAATGAAAATTATTTTTGCTAAAATTATAAACCAGTAATAAACATTTGCCAGAGATTTTAACAAATTTACTTTGTTTATGTATGTACTCATATAATTGTATAATTTCTTGTCGTAAATTAAGCGTGTTTAACTCTAAAACAACCTAACATTATCTAACATTATAGGTTTAGTGGTAATGTAATGAGTTGATTTATTTTATGTTAATTTATTGGCTTAACCACTTTAAAGTCTCCAAGTTCTCACGCGTGATGTTTTTTATTGCTCAACTTTGCCAACATCTTATAACAGTTCGTTACCCGATACGAGTACAAGCACGATACATTTAAAAAATAAAAATACTTTTGTTTTGAATAACAATAACACAAAGGCATTATTAGACTCGGTGTCTGTTACACTGATGTATGCATCAAATAACGAATGGGTACATTATACACGTTGAGCTACTCACAAGAAAATATTAAGGTGTTATGTAGATTTATAACATTGCATTTTAAGAATAAATTTATATTCTATGTCGTTTTATATTATCATAAACAATTACTACAGACTATACTGTCGGCTTAAAATAATTACCATTTTTCATAATAAAAAAAAGGATTCTTTTTTATTCTAAGATAGAAAAGGTAAATGTTTTTTAACAATGTACTATAACATACAACGTCTATAAATACGTTTTTACGAAATAGGTACTTTGCTATAAGTAACCGACATGCCATATTTTTTTAGATAAGGGTATTTTAACCATTTCCTCAACGGCTATTACGGGATGTTCACTATTGCTAGTTTCTTTATATTCTTAGACACGAGATTCTTATTTGCATCATGCACGCTAAGGTTTTCAAGGTGGCTTTATAATTTTTTTTTACTAGAATTTTCTTTCTATACATTTATAAAATGCAACAAAAAAAAGTACAAAATTTAAATAATCGATTTTTAAATAAATGTTATTGTAGTCTGTTTCTTACGCCCTGCTACGCTTGTTGATGCAACACATTAATTATGCACCAGCATCAATTTTTTACGATGATGAACAATTTATGAATAATTTTTTTAGTTTTTTACTAACTAACTTCAATTTTTGAATGTCCACGTTTTTTTTACAACAAATAATACTTTTTTATGAGTAAATGGGACAAGTTTTGATATTAACTGGCTAAACATTGATCCTTTAAATAAATAATGTTCTAGATTCACGGCTCATATGTGAAATTGCTCCATTCGTGAAATGGACAAACTTTAAATATTTTTTTCCTAATTCGTAAACTGGGTGACTATAATTCCCTTTAACATTTTATAAGAAAATACATTTTTTTTTAAATAGAAAATAAAACACATTATATTTGATGATAAAATATTCTCCTCAAATTCGTCAAAAATAAAGAAAATGTATAACTTTATTAAAAAATAATATTTTTTAATCGAGGTTACCGCATGTAAGTCCAGCATTCATGACCTAATCTCCAGGGTGTATAATGTTTACATGGTGTACAATTATAACTGTTGTAACATAAATAAAATCTAAAATAACAAATTTTAAATAGCGCTGATCCAGTTTATGAATGGAGTATCAACTAAGTTAAACACATAAAAATATGTTTTTCATTGGGATAAAACGCCAATGCTTACTGTGTTTTTTATACTATTATCAATTCTTTGATTTTCATCGTTTTAAAAAAATAAGAACTTGCTTTGCGGCGACGTCCGATATTTTATTTTCAACAAAATTCATCATCATAGGTTTTTTATGCTACTATGTAATAAGTTTGTTTGTGTCTTGGCCACAAACACTACACTGCAACCGCTACATTCGAGATTTATGTGCCCCGCACTATTACCAACGAGTACTCTTTCATCTTGCTGCCATCAACAACCAGTATAATAGCCCTTCCTTTTTTCATTTTACATTTATCCTGCATCTAACCATACCAGCTTTTCACGTCTGGCTCGCTCTCAAGTCTTAATGGACGGCGACACCGCAACTGCCCTCAACACTGAACTTGTGGAAGATAGAGCGATTTCAATAAGTACAATAACCAAATAACTTTAACGACCAACAAAATAATAAAACCAAATTTTAAATATTCTAAATAGTATAAGATATCATTTAAGGTACCACGGAAAAACGATATTTTAAAAATATTTTAATTTTTTTCCGTGGGATAAAATTAAAAATAGTTAACAATTGAAAACAAATATACCAATAAAAAATGTTAATAGTAATCATTTTAAATTAATGTCAACTTTTGACTTCCATACATCATTGTACTCAATGTTTTTTACTAAAAAAGGTAAATTCTATAAAAAAAAAATTATTTAATGTTCATAATATTGTTTTTAGAAAAAATATCTGTTAAAAATGCGTTTTAAATTTGTTCTGCTTTTTCATTTGTATAATCGATAATTTACTACTATAGCCTAGCTTTCATGTTAGAATATATACACTCATTGAATATCCATTTGATTATTTTTCTGGTCATAAAGTTTGAATAATGAATTCACTCAAACTTAAACAAACGATGTAGAATGTATAACGAAAGTTTTTATTTTTTAATTTAATAAATACATTATGCATTTGTTGGGTCGTAAAAACTTTATAAAAATAAGTTCCGATAAAACAAGTAAAATTATTTGAACTCTTGTGCTGCTTTAAATTTATACGACCCTATTTTTAAATGTGTGAGTTTTAACAAATAATACTATACTTCATTGAAGTTAAAATACCATACACGAATTCATGTTGTTGTAACATTTCATTTTGTGTTCTATATAGTTATTTATTAATTCAAAATGTCCGAATGGTCATGAAGAAAAATAGATTACAGTAGAATAATTCCTTGATGTTAATCAATCTTATCGTTAACAAACTTAGGTAAAATTGTTTAACATGTATACTTGGAACACGTTAGAAAATTGTATAGAGCGAAGGAATTCAATTTCCTTCGTTTCTTATCCGATCCTATACCAACTCTGTTGACGTTTTCTTTTTTTTTTTTCGTTGCCTCGATTCGGAAAGCTAGTTTGTTACGACGACTCTAAGGCTTTTATCAATTTTTTATAATCACAGTTGATAGTAGTTTGCAACCGATGATTGTTGAGTTAGGAGGCACGACGTGTGTGGAATGGGTTTCCATCTTTATTCAATTTTGATAATGGTGATTAATAACAAGCTGAGTACCATTTTTTAATAGTACAGAATTTAAAATGTAAACCAGTTAGCTCATTAGTAGGTATTAAAAACTAGTACATAAGATAAATTGAAACGGTTAATCGTTTTAATAAAATTTAGAGATTCTAGAACATGTGTGTGTTTACCTTTAAACATTTTTGTCATAAAACCCATATGAGAGAGAAACAACCTTTATTAAAGCGAACTGCCCGACGCACAGTGGTCTGAGAATGAAATTTAGGTGGCAAAAATAGGCCATTAAAAATGTTCAAAAAATCAATTGTTTTTTCTAGGATCTCATTAGTATATGATTACTAGTGTAAATATAAAATTTCAGCATAATAACATTTTTTTAACTGAAATTATAGCCAAGTGAACTAAACACATATGGTTTTTTTCTGTTATTTTGAAAATAAAAATGCCGATAATTCAGTCATTTTTTTTTTGGCTATTGAAATATATAAAATTAAAATAATAAAATGCTTTAATGTTAAATAACATATAAAAATTATAAAATAAAAATAATTTTTTTTTTTTTCAAAGACCAAATTTACTCGATTTTTTTTTATGATTTATAACCGTTAGGGACTTAAATTTAAATAAAAAAACCTTTCCAAGCCATTCTATATACTGCTGTAAAAGCATTGTATTTTCAGTTAGGATACACACGACTGTGGTAGTAAACCGATAAATGAAACGTAAAAACCTTTTGCACAACTCGACAATAAACTTTTTCTGTATTTATTACTTGTTAAGCCAATAATTGCTTATTTCCATTTGAGTTGAGACTTTTACCTTTTGTCGTTTCATTCAACCGCAATACTTAAACTTAATTCAGATTTATGGAAAAATTTGGGTTTACTGTACTAATTTTTTGTACCGACGGTTGTGATCAATATAACCTAAAGGAGATGGGTACTATCAGGCCCTGGACACTTCTGGGCGGCGGGCCGATAACAGAGAATCATTTCGGCCATTTTGTTTGAAGACGTTATTATCAATGTTTATATATGTCTATATAAAAAATTCACATGTATATATGTATAAAAATACACTGATTGTCTACAAACAAAATGGCCGAAATGATTCACACAAGCGGCATATGCTGCCCGTGTAATTTGTTATCAGTGTCCATTCTGATTGTTCTATTCTGTGGTATTATTATCAAAACGATTCAATAAACGTTACCATAATAAGTGTTATTTAGTTATTACTTCTCTTTGCGCAGACTAAAATATGTTTAAAACAGCTGCCAGATTATTCAAAATTAATTTTATCAAAATATAATGTTAAATATTTTACTTAGCTGAGAAGATATTGGTTATTTCATATATTTTTTTTTTAGTTTTTATGGGTTTATTGTACACGAGTCAGTTATTAAGCCGCTAAATAAATATTCCTTTAATCAAAATAAGAAAAACTGAAAATATACAGATTTTCCAAATTTCAACTTTGAAATACTATGAGTATAAAATGGTTGAATCAACATATCGATATGATATCGTTAAAGCTATTTGCTTTAAGAGGATGCTACACCGGCTATTTCTAAGGAGTAATGTATAGGCAATTTTTCGAAAAATCTTAATTCAGAGTTTGTACTATAATGCATACTTATTAATACAATAATGAGGATACTTTGTTGATGGACATTTTTTTGTTGTCAGACTATCACAGTCATTTCTATAGGATAAATTACAATTTTTCCTCTTCAAAACTGCTTTGCGTGAATTAATTTTTCTCAGGCTTCATATATAGTTAAGAAAAGAAATTCATACATATTATTTATGACAAAATTATCTGTGTTCCATCATCCGTATTTTTTCGATATACCTAATACAACCAACGCTATATAATTTTTAAAAAAGTCAAAAGAAGTCCTTTCTTAATTAATTAATTATTCATTAACTGGTTGAAATATTTAAAAAATGGCAAAGGTAGAATACAGACAATGTTGTTGTCTATATTATGTAAAAATTTGGTGTCTTAGTTTTGATTATAGCCTTTGTAAAATTAATCCGCGCAAGGCGGGTTTTTGAAGAAAATAACGCGTGTGTGACGACGTCCTCTTAAGGACAAACCTAAAGTTAGTTAGTTCTATTCGAAAAAACGGAACCAAATTTGTTTAAGAATTTATAATTATTTTTAATGTTTGGGAATTATTATTAAAAACATGCGTATAACGTGTATACATGCAAAGTATTTGAAAAATATTACTATTCACAGTAGAAGCTGTTGGGAGTATTTTATTATTACATTTTTTTTAAATGGATTCATTCATCAAATTACTTCTGAGGTATTTCATCATTGATTTCCATTTTTGTTTAGATGTATGAAATGTAGCGTGCATACAAAAAAAATAACCAAAAAAGTTACTGTTTTGCGAGAATATGTTGTCTTTAAAACGGTACAAAGAAAGTTTTATCATAAAAAAAAAATGTCGTGACTTTGTAATGCAAATTTTAGGGAGAATTCAGTAGTTGTGTTTTGATTAAAATCTTTAATAATTCAACTCTCTGGTCGGCTACTGTCTCGACAAAAAAATAGTGCTCTCCGTGGATATTATTTTGGTAAGTTCGGACAGCGGTATAATGACAGTGGACGGTTTTACAACAGTCCGTAAAACTCAATGCTTCGCCCGAGCCCGTTCACTTTGGAGAAGGGGGAGGGGGGGGATGTAAACGTTATACGCAAGAAGGCAAAATTATTAATAAGAACCGGGCGCATGCATTATTTTGAAGCCCGTTTCCGGATATTGCCGATGACGTTTTTGATATGGCCGACATATATCACACGTGACCGCATCAGTCACTGCGTTATAAAGAATCACGTACGGCATCAGCTAACTCTGCCCTCTTCCCCTTCGTTTTTTTTTTATTAGCGAGACGTTATGGAAGTCCGAAGTCGTTTGGTGTTTCTTTCCGCTTTTCGTTATCACAAACCCCAGTTTAACCGAGAAAACTAAAAGACATATTTTTTCATACCGTATAACACCGAAAAGAAACTTTCCGTCCGCTATTTTGTTTATTTTTTTTTTATGCAAACAATAATTTTCCGGTTCAATCATCTCTTTCCGAAGAATAACAAAACATTTGAAGTTTGTTTTTGACTATTACCTATGTATATCTTCTACGCCCGAGTGTCGAATAAAACTAAAAGAAATTTAATATTAACTTTTTAATTGATATTTCACATGTTTTATGACGGCTTTTCTATAGACTTGTGTAACTTTTTGTTTTGTTATTGGAAAACGGACGGCGTCAAAACGTGTAAGACCCTTTTTGTGAAATGTTACACGCCTAAATCCTGTGAACATTCGTGATAGGAATTGTAAGTACCTAGATAATTTGTTCAACGCTGGTATTACCAGCTGCGACTAACCAAACACGTTTTTTAAACCTAACTGGCAAAATTATAAGACCGGAGAAACAAAGCCAATTTTCCCTTTGTTTGTGTTATAATAATATGATGTAATGGCTTCTCGAAGTACTAATAATATCTTGTGTAACGCCATCGAATTGAATTTATTCTATTCCTCTATACTCTATATAGTGTAGAATGAGTTCTACAAAATGCGATTACATTCGCGAATTAAAAAAAAAAATGTTCTCCTTAAGATGGTCGTATAATAATTGTTCGTTTGTATTTATTTTTCCACAGAAACGTTTCGAAAATATCCTATATCGCCAGTGATTCGTCGAGTAGCCATCAAACCGTACACCGTGGAAAAGCAACAGAAATCAGTGACCATCGAACCCGGAGTACTTACATTGGTGCCGGTTCATGCTTACCATCACGACAAAAGACATTTCGCCAACCCCGAAGAGTTCCAACCGCATCGGTTTCCCGGACAATTGTCATCCGCTTACATGCCTTACGGTAGCGGGCCGCAATCCTACATAGGTAAGCCATTTCGTTTTGAAGTGCGTGCTTGATAGTATTCATATAAAAAAGAAAACAACTTTTGCCTGCGGCTTAAAGCGTACGAACCATCAGATGTAATACAATAAAGTGATTCGTAGTGTTCTCTGGGAAAATAATTTCTTTTTTTTCCAAAGTAGATGAGAAGTAAAGTAAAAATATGTTTTCTCGTCCGTAAAATGTTTTCCTTCGACATCAAACGCGTGTTAGGTTTCACGGTGAAATAAGGAAACTGGATTTTTTCCACAATATCTGTGTTATCTGATAATATAACACACTGATCGTAAAAAACAGACTTCAGATATTATATGATATCTATATTCTGTTGTACAGTATAACTCAAATTTGTATAGTCGTTTATTAAAAACACAGAGATGCCACTTGATATAGTATATTAAATTAACAAATTCAGTTTCCAACAATTACAACGCAAATGTTATACTATTTTTGTACACTAACATGTCTCAGGATCTACACTTTTCTAAAAATCTGAGAAGTTTTGACGTAAAATTACTTTCCATTACAATTTTGATATGGACTATTTTTAATAGAAGTTACTATATTTATAAATGCGTAAATCAATATAATAATTTATTGTCATTTCAAATGGAATTTAGCTGCAATTGTGATTCTTTTACGGTACTTTTTTCAGGGAAAAGATTTAAAAATAAATACTTCTTAAGTTCATGTGGCAGAAATTGTTGTACACAATAAGGAAATGTACTAAAAGATAATTCCCATTGATTGTAGGAATCGTTATTTTCACTACGTCATCGGTGAGATGACAAAATGGAATGCGTATTGTATTGTTGAAATGAGAAATTGTAGTGAACTTTTCATCACCTATCCACACGCACAATGTGTTTTTGTATAGTTCTTATTATATGATGTGCTGCGACGTTTAAACCGTGAAAAGTTGATTAAATTTTCTTAATAAAATGCCGGCAAAATATCATCAACTTAATAACTTTCTTGAATGCATTCTTTTTCGGTTGTATACACATGATATAAAAGGAATAAATAGTAAGCATGTAACATGTACACATTATATACAATATATATATATATATATATATATATATATATATATATATATATATCCCTCCACTTTATTCCGCGTGAAAAAAGGCTAAGCAATATTAATTTAGCGCTATAAAATATTTCCCAATATAGTAATTATTTACTCGGTGAGAACATTTTTATGCTTAAACTTAAATATTTATCATAAGTTTAATAACAAAAAATAACTACAACAATTATTAATAATGCTAACATAAAAATTTTATATTCCAGTAAAAATGTTCTCACTAAGTAAATAATTACAATTTGTTCGATTTACTTAACTTAGCTCAATACAGTAGGATATCACAACTTATCAGTGCTAAACAATTTTTTTTTAATTAGCCTTTTTTCACACGGAACAAAGTTACATATGTATAAGCAATTGTATATGTACACGGTTTAAATGGGAAAACTCTGTTTCTAGGTATTATACACTGTTTGTTGCGCGTGCTATTTTTTTGATATTTACACCGTGGCGCTGAATAAATTATTTAATTTTGACTACTAAAATAACTCGTGTATACATTCGCTACACTATGTTACATTAGTTTGTTAATAGCTAAAACAGAAATTTATAATGCTTTCCAAAATAAATATTCATAATTCGAAGGTAATTCACACTTAGGAAATAATGTCTTACAATGAATTGAAAAAACCACTTCATGCTAAAGAGAAGAGAAGTTAATGTAATACAATGGTAAGCGAAAAATTCAGAGAAATAAGAATGGAGAAATCAGAGATGTGATAAGTAGCATGAAGTGTGGCAAAATGAGACGAAAGGAGGCAACAGTGGTTGGATGACAGAAATGAGCTATTTAAAATAAAATAAACCCTGTAATAAGACCAGCAATAATGTGTATTAACATTGGTTATAAATAATATAAATATCGGATAGCCCACTGGTATGTATTTTTTGCTGCCCGTAAATTGTTACCGTTATACAGCGCTTTATACTGTTTTTAGTTATGGCGGTAGGTACCGTGAGCGCGGTATCGTCGCGCAAGCACACTACGTCGTTTCTGGCTGTATTGCGCCTAAAGCAGGGGGTGGCTATAGTAGTTTTTATGTGTTGCAAAAAGTAGGACTAAAATCATCAGTCTGCCAAGAAAGAAGAAAATAATTATCGTTCATATATATCGTGGTGATAAGATATCAATGATAACAGTAATTTGAAAAAATATTGTTTTTAAATTCGATAAAATATATTAAATTTATTATTATTAATTTGTATATAAGTTATATAAGTTTTAGCTATTTATTTGTTTTATTTGTTCAACATTAAAGAATTTTTTTTAGTCCTACTTTTTACTTAGCTCTTGCATACTGGCTAGTATATGTTAGTTCATCTCATTATATTATTACTCTATGGCCTAAAGCTAAACTGTAAAGCGCCGTACAACGGCAACAATCTACGCGCAGCAAAAAATACATACCAGTGGGCTATCTATATTATTTATAATCAATGGTATTAATGATGATTATTTACAACTATGTACATGTTTTACTACAATAATATTAAAAATACGTCTAGGTTATATTTATTATAATACATATTTAGTTATGAACAAAACGAACCCCCCTCTGCAAGATCTATTTCGATCACATAGTCTGAATGAACATGACCGGACTATATTTGTTTCAACTTAAGTATGGTTATTAAAACTTATTGCATACATCGAAAAAAATATATGATACGAAAGGTTTCCAAGTAAAATATTATTTTTAAGTAGTTTTCACGTGCGTGAGATTAAAACAACGATATATTGTTACGTTTAAAACATATCTTTCAAGCGTGTCAATCATAATACATAAACTCAACATAAATGTAGCGTTTTTAATATGATTTTTTTTTTATGATTTGTGTATTAGCCGTTAGCTATATGTTATTACACTCCATAGTGATCTTAAAAAAAAATTGCATAATAAATAATTAAAAAATCAATAATTTTAATTAAATATTAGATCGCATTTTAAACACATTAGTATATTGTATCTGAATGGTTTAGGTCTATCCAATAATATGTTATTAATTATAAAATTATAAAATATTATAATTTAGCATAAAACCTGTGTTACTTATAATATTTTGTTTTTTTTAAATAATTAAATTTACCGATCTTAATCAATAAGAGATCGATTTTTGTATAACTTAGTATTAAAGCGTATTTCCAAAAACATACAGTAAGAACATTGTACTTTCAGTTCATTATTCTTTTCTCGCTAGTTTTCATACTCGCATAAATTTAAAAAAATATATAGAGGGAGTTACACACACACATTCATATTATATATATATTAGTTATCGTTGACCCAGTCACACTTTTAGTGAGCAATGACTGTAGTGCGTTTGTTTTTCAAGTGGAAACGCGAGTTGAGATTTCGAGGAGAAAGAATAATTGTAGTTGGTGGTATAATTTTGAGCATATATTTTTACGAGAGCTTTTACCATCAACGTTAAATACACAGTTGTACATATATATGATTGTTCATCTATAGTAGAATATTCTGGGTGAACAAAACTATAGAGTACTTTGTTAATAGTATAAAAATAATGTCAGAAAACATGTCACGTATTCGCGCTAATGAAAATTCACAAATATAGAAGAAAAAACGTCTTGGAGTAATTTCCTAATATTTCTAACGAGTCGTATACAGCTGCGATTTGTATAATGTACTCACCAAAAATACACTTTTCTCCTTCCTAAATAATTTTAATAAATTCTTACAAAATTATTTATTTTGAATTCGTTTTTCTTTTTTCTTTAAGTAATTTATTCTACTTTTAATACAGTGTACTGCTAAATTGATTTGTTGGAGTATTACGTCCATATAAATAACTAGACTTTTTAAGGTAGTTATCTAAAAAATGTTTATAATGTGCCGATTTGTAAATGTGAACCTAACAATTATTATAAGCAAAAAATATTAAACTTAAACATAAGTGTTTATGCTTAAAACCTTAATAATTTTTCTTCGGTAAGAAGCTATATTTTGTAGTACAATGTAAATTTATGAATTTTGGTCGAGATCAAATTGTAATTCTATAACATATAAACGTATTAAAAGTCTATATGTTGAGTTAAATAGAGTACGTTTCACTGTAGTCATTGCATAAAACAAATAATAAGATACATTTTATTTGAGCGTATGAATATGTATTTAACGATAAACTTATTTTTTTTTTACAGGCAAAAACTTTGTGAGCCTGGAGGCTAAGATGATTATTGCAATGTTAATTTCTAAGTATGAATTCAACGTGAACAGCGCTGAACCCGGACGAACACCAGATCCGTTTGACAAGTCATCGTTTGCCGGGGTCAAAGTTCAGTTATCTAATAGGCTGCAACGAGACAGGACTTTAGAAGAATCCTTACGACATATTAACGAAAAAAACAAATTATTTAAATTATTTTAAGGAATCTACTTAGGAATCTCTGAGTAGAAGAGGCGATATTAAACTATTAATTATTATTATTTTTATTATTCATATTAAATACTTATAATATGCAATATACATGTAATGTTATTTTATAACGATTAGGTTAATGGATAAATAGGTTGCCGACAAGACAATAACTAATACGCACATCCAGCTAGTTTTTTAGTATAGTGTTTAATAATATTATCAAACAAAAATTGTCGGCATCTTTATTTACATTAGGTATAACTTGTGTAAACCATTTCGTCATATTATGTAAGCTTTTCATTACCCACCATACATTTTTATAATTTCACTGTACTCAAAATTCTCAATTTTATATTTACAAATGTTATTTTATCAAAATAAAAATTGTGTTATATATTAATAAAAGGTATAAAAAAACTTTTTAAAACGATTAATGAGATATTTATGTAATTGATCCGTTTAAAATGTAAATAGACAGAATCTGTATTATATAGACAGAATTCTATATAAGAGTGAATGATTCTTAGAAAACTGTCAGTAGCAAACAATATAAATATTACGTAAATATATTTACACATCAATTTAGCTGAACTTGAAACAAGTAACAAGTGTGAATTCATGACAACATCGACCGTACAAAAAATGAAATAAAAAAAAGTTTTTTTATTATATTTGTTGTTCAGCTTTTAAATGATATAATGATATACCTGTGAATCGTTGTTCTAAGAAATGTCGAACGGACTACAATGTTTATCAGCTGGGGGTTATTTGCAGTCGGACAAACAATTTTGAGTCACAAGTTCCGGGTGGACAGTTATATACAAACATATATTACGATGAATTCTTTATTTTTCTATGGAGAAATGGCTCTAAAGCGAACACGCCAACGCATACAGAACCAATATTATGAAAAGAGAATCTTTTCTTTTATCAACTTTCCCCACTACGTTTAGTAGTAAAAACTTCTTTACTAGAAAAAATAATACTGTAATACTATACAGTATACATGTTTAGAAAACCTCAGTCACACCGCTTTACATTCTACTTACTAAATGGAACCGACCGACAGCATTAGAGAACACAAAAACGTTATATTATTTTACGACTGTAGCTAAAGCAAAATAAGTTTATATACATATATATATATATATATACAGTGCACACAGTTTAATATGTAATCTTGAGGACTACAGTGTTTAGCGGCATAGTCGACCACTAGTATTTATTTATTTTTTTCAATCCGACTTTTATGACTATCAAGTTTTTGCGTGCCTTTGTCAAAACGCATCGGTTCAACCATTTGTTTACAATTCATTATTCAATTATTTTAAATTAGTTAAATCTTCGAAGATTATCATAATATATTTGATGAGAGATAATAATATTTTCATAGCATTCAATTTATCATTGTGTTTGCTACACGAGTGTCATTTCTAATATATTAAAGAAAATTTAAACTGTTTGTTTTGACACCTTCGTAAGCACTTGTGTACACCTCAAAAATCAAACGACTCTCGGTCTGAATTCACGCCGCGAAGTATCATTTAAGAAGTTCAAACCTGTTTGTACTACCAAAATGTAAAATCATCTCTAGTTTTCAATATAAGAAACGAGCATGGATATTCATCACCATATTATTTTTTTTTTCCAAAATCATAATTGTAGAAATATTAAATAAGTACTATTGTTTGATATTTAATTAGCTAAAAAATAATACGGTATCAATGACCATCAGCTTGTTGTTTGATAGCTTATTTAGTTTTGTGAACTATCCGCCGCTAAAAATCCCGGGTGATCACCCATCCAGGATCAATCAACGACGGACATAGCTTAACCTCAGTTGCTAAGTCACAACAACTAAGGTGACCACTGCACTTTACCATGACTCTTATCACTTTTATGGTTTTGTATAGTTGACAAAAAAATATCTTGCACAGTTAAAAATAAAAATATGAGAAGTATTTAGGCTATTATTCTATTGGTAGTTTTGTGTTGTTTATGTAAATCAGTTTTGATAAGTAATTTAGTGTTTATATTAAGACGTACCTCCTGTTTTACATAGTGTCAATTAATGAGAGTGTTCTAATCAATAATTTATGCTTTTAAAGAAATATCTAAAAACAAATGTTTTATTTTTATTTTAAGAAATGGGATTATTATTACAGATGTAATTTGACTAATGTAGTATTAAAATAGCATCATGTATTTTTATAATACCACAGAATAAATTTAATTTGATTTATTCTTTGATAATACAATAATATAATTTTTCAAATAATATTAATTCGCTTTTAATTTAAAGTGATTAAGCCAAAATTGTTAATGATCAAAATCCTATAATCAGTATTTTCAAATATTACTTATACTCTATCCCTTGATGCTATTGTACTATTAATAGTTTTCAATTTTATCAGTAGGTATTCATGTGGTACAATAATTATATTGCGTATTTTTAGAATACAATGTGATATTAAGTGTTTGTCTTACTATCAAGAATGTAATAACTATAAATCTACAGTTATAAATTATAATAACAAATAATAACTACGCATGAGCAAAAATTACCATTTGTCTAGATCATGTAATTTTGAGGCATCGTGAAAAATGGTGACTTACCTGCAACATAAAAATAATACATTAGTTTTAAAAATCAACAACTATTAAAAACTCTTGTTTCTAATATGATATAATACCCACAGTTGTATATTTTACACATAAACAGTTATAAAAACACCTGTTTAACATCCTTCACTAATCCTGATTTTAACATGTTATCTCTCTGAACTAAACTAACAAAGTCTAATTCTAGTAATCGACTTAAGTGACGGGTTTGAAAATTGAAACATGAGTTTCACGGTTTAACCTCCGGAAATTCACTAGATTTATTTCTTCAGTGACGGCAGGTCCTAAAATCAAGCGAACCCTAACCAGATTTTACCGATCCCTTACCTGAATGCTTTGAAATAAGTTTATTAGCTTAAGAAGGTTTAAATTTTCAAAATTCTATTTTAAAAAGTCTATGATGTTTGGGACTTTTAAGAATCTGGATTTTTTTAACCCAATCAATAATGACACGAATTCGGGTTATCCTACATTCTAAACGATGTAGGTTGCCAATTTATGCTTATATACTACAGAACCTATCTTTATGAAATAAAATCTTAAACAATCTGTGAATTCTGGGGAGTGTTCTTAGCTAATTTAATTATCATGGGATTAAGTATAATCCCGCAAATGCAAAAAAGTTACAGCCTGCTGGCTCCTGAATAGTGATTATTTCTGATCTATAATCTCCTTGCGATTTATGATGATAGTATAGTCTAATTATATGTTCTGGCCAAAACGTTTGCATGACGACGACGACTCGTTATTATTTTGATGGCATCTTATATGTTATATATATTTTATAATTAGTTTTAAGAAAATTTATATTATACCTACATTAATGCCTGAAGGCGGAAATTAGTAAAAATAAATAAATAAATATATATTACACAGTGTATATGAGCGTCACATCAGAGACGTACGGACCGCTACGCCCATTTCAGTCGTGCAGCATAATATGAGTAGAGGTGCTAAGGAAAGATATTCCGACCATGATGGCTGGACTATTTCGTGACGCTATTTTGTGTCACCCGACTATGTTCATTTCGAATTCTAACACATTTTAAAGAAATTTAGGGTTTTTTTTGTTTGTTAAATTATGTAAAATTAACTTCAACAATTGATAAAGTTGTAACAATTTTAACAATATACATTATTGAAGTTATAATAGGGCGTGTATGAATCGAAATCATTATTGATCAAATACATTGTGTCCGCCAATTGACGTCACTTCGTTTAATTTCATGTTTTTCGAAAACAACAACTTTAGTTTAAAGCAACTGTTGAAAACATTTTTGAAACATTAATTCGATACTAATATTACTAAGAAAACTTTATTGCTCGTCAAAAAACATCCGCAAATACTTACCATTTCAAGTGCAGCGTTTTGCAAATAATATAATTTCATTTTTTATACTACCATGTAAAGAAGAGGAAGGACGGGACACATAAAAATATGTTTATTCCCTTAATATGTTACGAGGGATGTTTTGCTACCCCATGAAAACCATAAATAATAGTAATAAACGTTTGACATTTTATTGTTTCTGTTTTTAAACGCTCGCCAGCACACAACAAGGTTTTTGCGGTTCGATAGAGAGAAACATATAGAGAAATTAGGAATCTCATAAAATCATTTGATATTTTATTGTACAATTATTTTATTATTAAAAACAAATTAGCACTAAATTCTGCGTGGAGCATTGTATGGTCCGAGCTTACCAAACTCGTGGGCTGTGGTTAATGTGATTCTCGTGTTTTGGCTTTAATTAATTTTAAAGAAATACGTTTGTATTATTAAACGTTTTATATTTTAAGGATAAAAATGTAACATAAAACGAAATAACTAAAATGGTATATAATATGTGTTTAGGTTGTTAACAAAATAAAGCTCATTTTAATGTTTGTTAGGTAATAAACACATAATAGTAATTATTTATCTATAAAACAACTATTGCAACGAATGTTAAACCCGATAATGAATTTTCCACGTGTAAAATAATTATTTTTACAGTTTGATCTTATGTTTACTATGATTTAAGCTTGTATATACCCATATAAGTAACCTATAAATGGAAATTACAATATTTCACACTAAGTTAAAGAACTCTAAATTTGAACAACAATAATAAGCAGAAAGTTTTTGATAATTAATAATAGTAATAGACGCTTATTCTGGGTTTATAGAAAATGAAAAATTTGCCTAGATAATTTTACTGCTCATAATTAGCTTTTCTCATTATAGTAATTGTTTCGCACTAAATGTACCAATGAACAGAAATACTCTATAGTCAGAGAGATTTTTTGGTAGGCTTATTTTTTTTTTACTAAAGTAATCACAGAAACAAATTTTATCAAGAGCGTTTTTCTGACAACCAGATTACATTGTTTTAAAAAACTAACTAAGATCCTAAGACCTGAGACTGAATTCATGTTGATGTCAATTTGGCCGTAATAGTATTTTGAAATTTTGAAATTGAAATAAGAAGGATATTACAGCACACGTGAAACTTCAAACAAATAGCTTTTAATCTGTGTGTTTAAACACCTTAATTTAACGCCTATTTGATCATACTCTTTATTTCCGTTCACATGGTGTTATTATAGATAGTATAATCAAAATTTAAACATATTTCCACTCAACCATACCATTGTGTAGTTATTGACTTGACAATACTCAAACATTGATTTCACATTAAAAGATTTAACCCGTTACGTTTATCTACATTCTACATGGAAGCAGCGGACCTCCGTCGTAGTACCGTACAATGCTCGTTGCAA